CCAAAAAATGATAGAAAATCTATTTCGAGTTTCGGGATATGCGTATATCTCTACCATTTGATGCCCTGGTCAGTAAGAAAACAATTAATATGTGCTTTTATATTTATTAATAAACTTAACAATGAAAAAAGTAATAATTAGACTGAAACAAAACAACAAAATATGAGAAATAGGAGCTTTCAAGAAATGCTCCTTCAGGCATGAGTGTATCGAGAACAACTGACAAATAAAATATAATTTGATTGGCGACGAATTGACGCCGCCAAAAAGAATTAATTCGTAACAATGTCACCCCCAAACTTTGTAGATCATAGTAAAGTGAATGAATTCTTTTTGCTCTGAAATGTTGTTATTACAGATTCATAATTTACTTTAATATTAAATTTTATTTTTCAGAGAACTGAAGAGCTTTCTCTTAAGTTACTAAATCCAGAAATGGAATCTTCTATTAAGGTAATATTTTTTATAAAGTTATTTATAAGCTAAGGTAATATAAATATGAAATCACAGAAAATGAATATGTATTTTTTTTCTAATTTTTATATTGCTTTCTCTGTATAGATATAAATATACGATAACAGCATTAAGAGAGGGAGCCTATAAGGACACATACCTCTCCCCAAAAATGTTTAAAAACTTAAAGAATTCTTTCCATATTATTTCTTAAGAAAACAAAAAGAAATCTTTCATTAAGAAATTTAGATGCTTTATTTATAATTAAACAAAACTATTTTTTTATTTTTAGAACTGTTAATGTTTCATATGGTATATTTATTTTTTAACAAAATAATTTCCTGAATATCATTTTTATGTAAAAGATATCTAAAAATTATTTAGAAAATTTTTTTTCCGGGAAGAATTGTGAAAGTTTAAAAGCAGCCATTTCAATGAATAAAATTCAAGCCTTTGGAGAGTTACACCTGATCATCCTTGGCTTTTTCGAAAAAGATATCAATGGTGTCATCAACTCAATATTTTGAGGAAAAGGCGCTCTCATGGTTCATGTTCAAACATGGAACATGGTACTTCCAACATATTTTAAATATGTAATCTATTTTTGATTTGTTTGAATCATAAATTTATGGAGAAAATTTATTGGGCTGCCTATGTTTATAATCTTGTAATTTTTAATTAATGAGTGTGATATCGGGGGTCTGTCCAGGCCAAATTTCACAAATTCAACTTTAGGAAAAATTGTAGTTTCACAAAATAATTTTTCTTTAAATTTTATTTTTGTATCCCTTAAGAAACGATAAATCCATATTTTTTTGTGGATTTTATAATAAAATTTTTTATTTTTCACAAATTATGTTTAAATTTTCACAAAATAGGTACCTCTCAGAAAAACCTAGACAGACTCCTGTATATGTTTCATTGGAATGAAATATCTCTTTTATTAGTAATTAATTTAAAATGCAGTGTGCAATTCTTTTTTTTTTATGTTTTAATAGAATATGCTCTAAATTATTTTATTAGATTATCACATAATTTCTAAAAATTTGAACAGGACAGGGTTATGGTGATCACTAGCCATATACTCTCTTTTCGAATATTACTTATTATGTTAAAAGAAGTTAGTATTTTTTCTTAATTTTTAATTAAACTAGTAACTATAGTGGATAGAAGTTTTTTTTTTTTTTTAATTTTTGGAAAAAGTTATTAATTGTACTAATGAAATACAAGCTTTCTTTTTAAAATATTTCCTTCCAAAAAGTTTCTTTTTCTTTTTAGCTTGTCTTCTTAGTGGCGATTAGATGATAGAATGTTTTTAAATAATTTTTACTCTAAATTGCTGTTCATTCAACAAAAGTTTTTTTTAGAATTTTCAATTATTTATTTTTATTTAAGTCTTATAAACATGGTTATAACTTGCCAAGTTTCTTACTGCTTTAATATTGAATGTATGATTCTGTGTATTTATTTATTTTTTAATTTGACTTATTACTAGCATAAATAGGTAGGAAAGGTTTTAAATACATATAAATACATAAATTTGCATTGATTTCCCATTCAAACTTTTCGTGTTTTCAGGGATATTTTTAAACATAACTGATAGCACAATGTATTTATTTACTGTATGTCTGAAATTATATTTATTATGCTTTTTTCCTTATTTATAATTATCTTTTTTTTTTCAAAATTTTTAGATATTAGCATATTTTCTCAATTCTCTGTTGGATACATTTCAAGTTAAAGGTGATTTTTATTCTCTTGGACCATTGAGTTATTTACTTGCATCTGAATTGGAAAGTATTTCTCAACAACAGAAAAAGAAATCAGTAAGTATTTTTCATGTTAAAAAATTTTAATAAGCATCATTTTTAGTAAATCGCAAGTGATTTAGTAAATACATCTGCTTTAGAATTTTATGATTCTAATGTATATATATATATTTTTATTTCTTAAACCTATGTAATATTGAAAAATTGAAATCCTTAAAAATTGAGAGACTTTTTTCAAGAAGGCTTGATTTTTTAAGAATTAATATTTTAGTAAAATTATTCTAAAATTAAGTAGTGAATATAATGAAGTTTTTAAAGTAAAACACCTGTGTATTCTTCTTCTATCATAATATGAAAATATCATGGCGTGATTTTTATTTTCTACTTAATTCATTTCGACTTAAAAAAAAAGTTGAAAATTTAGTCTGACAGCACATTAGCAACTACGATCATCATAGTTTTACTCGGTAGTGTTTCTGATGACGAAAAAAGGTTTTTGTTATGACAGAGGTAAAAACTGTCAAAAACTTGTTTTTTTCTTTATGTTATACAGCAAGCAATATGTTTCTTATGTGGTACAATAAATTAAATATTTTCTTTACGATTAACAACTAATTTTGCCATTGTCTACATAATTATTTTAATATACTATAAAATATGAATTATTATTAAGTGAATTATTAAAAGTGCAACAAAGCTATAAATCAGAATTTTGCACTTATAAAATATCAAAAATATGTTTAAAAATTTGTGCACCATACAGATTATATTTTGTTACTGATATCCATTCAAGATCTATATCCTTTACCATACACTTGGTTATCTGTGTATAATCTTGGAATATTTATCCTAAATTTGTAACTAAAGGTAAACTAGTATCGATGCTATTTTATCGAATTTTAAAACTTTTATTTAATTGAAAACTCACGGCAATGCAAGGCACAATTGTATATGAAAAGGCATTTTTACTAACCAGGGTTATTGAGATGAAGCATGTGATCGCAAGTGACTAGTTTTGCATACTTTTCATTTTCGAATTTCAAAAATACATTATTATATTTTTATTAATAATATTAAGTCATTTTTTGTCCAATATCTTTTAAAACTAAATTTAATGCTTTTAAGATTTGAATTACCTTTTGTTTAAATGTTAACTAGTTAAAGTAAAAAAAAAATGTCCAGAAAAAAATATTTTTTTTTACAAAGAGGTTTTTTGGCACAAACGTAAAAATCATGATTAAAATTGTTATGGGTCAAGAACTTGCCAACCCTGATTGCATTATATGTAATGAGATACATCTCAGATCTAAAAAGTTTAAAGACTAGTTCTTGTAAAGCAAAAAGTTCCACTTTCTAATGTAATGTTTTTGGTATATAATATCTTTGATTTGAGGAATCCAAGACTAGGCACACTGTATCTGAACAAATTAATTGCTATTTTTTGCCCTCTAGATTTTGAATTTGTTGTCACAGCAGTAATTAGGTTATTAAAAATTTAATAATGGTGAAACTGCACTGAAATTCTTTTTACTTGTTTAAGAAAAATGACAAAGTGTCTTATGAAATGAAATACGTTGGATAATGAAAGTCCTTCTGTAAATAGGAAATCATTTCTATCAGCTAAAATAATTCATTATACTCAAGTTCTGTTGCTTACAACAACATTAGAACAGCTTTGTTCATTAAAATTTTGTTTAGATTTCTGTTTGAAATTAATTCAGTATTTTTTATAAGGAATTATAATTTATTTGTTTATAATAATTCCAATTTTTGTTTTTTATTTTTAGACTTATTCAAAGAAAGCTTCTTTGATTGTAGTTGATCGAATTTTAGATCTAGCAGGCCCTTTGAGTCAGTCATATGACACAATGTTAGATAAAGTTCTGTTATCTTTACCTCATATTCCTGGACATGTTTTTGATGTTTGTGTAAATATGGAAGATTTATCTGCTTGTAAAAGGTATTTGCTTCAAAATCTTTAATTTTAAAAATGTTTTATGTTTTAATGTTATAAAACTCATTTAGAATATATAATGGGTATTTTTATTTTATATTTTAAGTAATGTTTTATGTAACTTTTAGGAGAAGTAATATTATATAAAATAATCTGTTAAAACAATGTTTTTGTGTAGGGTCAGGTCAGTTTACTAGTTTTTAAAGTTGGGGATAGTTTTTTTCATTTCATATCATAGTGTTGTAAATTTGAAGAATCTTACTACTAATAAATAAGTTTAAAAAGTAAAAATAAAATTATAATTGATTCTTAAAATGCAAAATCTTTATTTTTATTTTACAGTGTTTTCATAATTATTTTTGTAAATTATGAAAACTTAAATAATTATATTTATTTTGCAGAATATATTCAAAAAGTATTAAGATCTTTTAACTTATTCTGAATTCAGTTTGTAAAACTTGCATAAGTTATAATGATTTTAAAAATTTAGAAGTGTTATTCTAATGCATCTTGCAAAATCTTAATTTAAGTTGTTTGTACGGAAAAAAAAATTTCCGGAAAAGAAAAAAGCAGCCGTCTCTCTTTTCCTGTCATAATCTTAAATTTAAAACTATGTGATCATTATAGCTGTTACTTTATGATTTATTATTTTCAATTCATTATTTTGTTGCAGTGCTATGGTATTTGGTAGACCTTTGCTAGCTCCAGGTTGTATTGCTCATAAAAGTGATTCTTATGCAGAAGCCTGTTTAAATGCTATTTTGTACAAAAATCCAAGAGTATGTTCTTCTCAATTTTTATTATTGTTAATTACTTAAACATAAATTTTTCTGTCAACTTTTCATGCTTAACTCGTTAGATTATTTAAATAAATATTTTTCTGAATTTTAAAAAACGTGATGAGTATCAAGTTTTTTCTTCTTAAATGTTGTAAAATATATTCTTTTTTGATTTGAAGTCCAAGAAGTATTCATATTATAAAATGTAAATCTTTGTGAGACATGTGCTTTTTTAAATTTATGTTTATGTCATAAATTGAGTGTTAGAAAAGTGTTTCATTTTCTAAAGAACAATCATAATTGGAACAGTTGCTTAGCTTTTAAAAAAACTTGATAGTTTAAAATCTTTTTATTTATTTATTTTTTGTAAGAAAAAATTGTAATTAAAAAAATATTTCTTAAAAGTACCAACAAAATAGACCAGATTGTTGTTTGAAGATGCAGGATCTAGCAAAACATATTCTACGAGCATCCATGCTTTTTAATTCACTTATGCATTAGCATTTATACCTGGTCCAATACAGTGCAACCTTATAAGAACACAATGAAATCTAATCATACATATTTGTTTGTTTCCTTTCATTTGCTTTTTTACTTTGTTTTATAATTTCCTAAGAACTAAGAACAATGATGGCTGTTAAATTATATATGTTCTTTTTTGAAATTTTACTCAAACCTTTAAAAAATAAACAACATTTTATTATTTTTGATATGCAAATTTGCTGTGCTTTAAATTTTTTTAAATTCCAGATTTATTAGAAAATTAAAAAAGAATTTTTTAATCATTGGCGTTTTTTAATGTTAACTAGTGAATAAACATTTTTTATTTTTCAATTTAAATATAAAATAATATTTTTGTACATATTTTTTAAAAATTCTGAAAAAAATTAATTTTAATTTCTCTCATTTTATACAAATTCTTCATGAAAGGTGTTGATATTGACTTTTTAAAAGAAAGTCATTTTGATTTTTCTGCTTACAGTGAAAAATATCAGTGAATTTGAAATAATTCAATCAAATTAGTTGAAAATTATGTGATAATTTCCTTGGCTGATTTGATCAGTTTCATATAAAAAGAGCTGTCTTATATAAGACTAATTGTAAGATGGAAAATAAAGTGAAATGCTTGCAAATTAACATTCTAATGAAGATATTATTTTTCTGTATTTTCTTTTGATACAATTTGTTTCATACTCTCAAATAACTTAGTAAAAGAATTGTTTTATCAATGATATTTTGCATTAAATTTTACAATACAGGTTTTTAAATTTTAGTATTTTTTACACTATTTTGCTTGTGCATGTATTATTACTAAACTAAAACTAAACTCAGCGGCGGGACAGCCCAAAGAGGGCCAAGGCCTACTGTGCCCATCTCAGTTTTCTTGACCTTTGGGCTCTGGGGTGCAGGAGCAGATGTTCCGGTTAGGTGGTCAGCCGAATGCAAAACCCCCAGTGTTTAGTTCCCAAGCATGCTTGGTACTCATTTATCGACCCACTGAAGGGATGAAAGGCTGAGTCAACCTTGCCCGGCCCGAGGATAGAACCAGGGGCCTGTGGCACGACAGAGCGAAGCGCTACCGCTCAGCCACCGGGCGTCAAAAAGTGTCTGTCCCTGGGATTCTAACCCAGGATCCCTCCCTCCATTGCGCACTTGCTTGTCTGGTGGCCTTCCATCCAGTCCACGGTGATACGGCTGTATTATAACTACACATAAAATAGGTTTTGTAAAATTGAATTATATTTTTTATTGACTTTTTAGTTATGATTTGTTATGTATTTTTCCATACCTTCTATTAAAACCCGAGCGAGTATTGCCCTAAGCATTGCAATTCAAATCAATAAAAATTTTCTATACCATCATTCAGTGTTTTCATCTCAGAAAAAAAATGGGTGAGAATTTCTCACCCTTTCTCAAAAGAAGGGTGAGATTTCAAAGATTTAAAAAAAAAAAAAACACCAAGAGACTTGAAAAAAAAAATCATTTCTTTAATTATAATGCATTTTTAACATCTTCTAATTTTTAAAGCATTGAATATTNTTTGTAACTAAAGGTAAACTAATTAAAGTATCAATGCTATTTTATCTAGTTTTAAAACAACTTTTATTTAATTGAAACCTCACATCAATACAAACCACAGTTGTATATAAAATGGCATTTTTAGTAACAAAGGTTATTGAGATGAAGCATGTGATAGCAAATTACTTGTTTTGCATGCTTTTCATTTTCTAGTTTAAAAAATACATTATCACATTTTTATTAATAATATTAAGTCATTTTTTGTCAAATATCTTTTAAAACTAAATTTAATGCTTTTAAGATTTGAAATACTTATTGCTTAAATTTTAATCAGTTGAAATGAAACAAAAATGTCTGCAAAAATTGTTTTTTTTACAAAGAGGTTTTTGGCATGAACTTAAAAATCATGGTAAAAATTGTCATGCGTCTAGAACTTGCCAACCCTGATTGCACTATATGTAAAGACATACATCTCAGATCTAAAAGTTGAAAGAATAGTTGTTGTAAAAAATCAATGGAAGTTTAAAAGCAAAAAAGTTCTCCATTTCTAGTGTAATATTTTTGGTTTATAATATCTTTGATTGGAGGAATCCAAATTGATTTGAGGAATCCAAGACTAGGCACACTGTATCAGAAAGAGTTAATTGCTATTTTCTGCCCTCTAGCTTTTGAATTTGTTGTCACAGCAGTAATTGGGCTATAAAAGATTTAATAATGGTGAAATGTGCACTGAAACGCTTTTTACTTGCTTAAGAAGAATGACAAAGTGTCTTATGAAATGAAATCCGTTGGCTAATGAAAGTCCTTCTGTAAATAGGAAATCATTTCTAGTAGCTAAAATCATTCATTATACACAAGTTCTGTTGCTTACAACAAAATTAGAACAGCTCCGTACACTAAAACTTTTGTTTAGTTTTCTGTTTGAAATTAATTCAGTATTTTTTATGATAAGGAATTATAATTTATTTATTTATGATAATTCTAATTTTTGTTTCTCATTTTTAGACTTATTCAAATAAAGCTTCTTTGATTGTAGTTGATCGAATTTTAGATCTAGCTGGCCCTTTGAGTCAGTCATACGACACAATGTTAGATAAAGTTCTGTTATCTTTACCTCATATTCCTGGACATGTTTTTGATATTTGTGTAAATATGGAAGATTTGTCTGCTTGTAAAAGGTATTTGCCTCGAAATCTTTAATTTTCAAAATGTTTCAAGTTTTAATGTTATATGACTCATTTAGAATATAAAATGCACATTTTTAATTTATATAAAATAATCTATTACAGCAATGTTTTTGTGTTGGGTCAGTTTACTAGTTTTTAAAATTTATCACCGAAATGGGATAGTTGTTTCCATTGCATATCATAGTGTTATAAATTTGAAGAATCTTACTACAAATAAATAAGTTTAAAAAGTAAAAATAAAATTACTATTAATTTATAAAATACTAAATTTTTATTTTGGTTTGTTTTCATAATTATTTTTATTAATGAGGAAAACTTATAAAATTATATTTTACAGAATAGTTTCAAAATGTATTAACATCTCTTAAATTAAACTGAAGGCCAGAATAGTCTGATTGACAGGGCATTGGACTCATGTTTGTGGGAACGAGAGTTTGAATCCAGCTGACCGAAGACTCCCTATGTAGTAAATGGTGACTGGTGCACGTTAAATCTGGTGGGTCACAAAATCCTCAATGTTCTCATCACAAATCAATACCTCTGGGGCTACTGAAGTGGAGATTGATCATTCTTTGGTTCAGGTCAAAATTACTATCTCTGGATAAATGAATGGGTCCGTCCTATAAACAAGTGTGACTTATGGGTGTGGCAGAAATCGAATTCTTTTCAGTCGAATTTTGGCCATAGATGACACCACTGGAAAACAAGAACAATCGCACCCCCTCTGCCTTAATGGCCCACGACAACAACAGCAAATTATACTGAATTCAGTTTGTATGACTTATATAAGTTGTCAATGGTCTTATAAATTTGGAAATGTCATTCTAGAGCATCTTGCAAAATCTTAATTTAAGTTAACTAATAACTTATTGCTTGAATTACATTGCATAAATTAAGTACAAAACCATTTTTAAAAAAATTCTGTCCCTCTTTTTCTTTCATAATTCTAAATTTAAAACAATGTGATCATGATGACTGTTATTTCATAATTTATTATTTTGTGATTAATATTTAAAAATTTTTTTTTGCTTTTTTTGCAGTGCTATGGTTTTTGGTAGACCTTTGCTAGCTCCTGGTTGTATTGCTCATAAAAGCGATTCTTACGCAGAGGTCTGTTTAAATGCCATTTTGTACAAAAATCCAAGAGTATGTACTCATTTTTATTATTGTTAATTACTTAAACATACATTTTTCTGTCAACTCTTCATACTTAACTTGTTAAATTATTTAAATTAATATTTTTCAGAATTTTAAAAAATATGATTAGTATCAAGTTTTTTCTTTTTAAATATTGTAAAATATATGCTTTTTTGACTTGATGTCCAAGAAGTATTCATATTATAAAATTTAAATCTTTGTGAGACATGTACTCTTTTAAATTTATGTTTATGTCATAAATTGAGTGTTTGCAAAGTGTTTCATTTTCTAAAGAACAATCATGATTGGAACAGTTGCTTAGCTTTTAAAAAAACTTCATTTAAAATCTTTTTATTTTATTATTTTTTGGTAAAATAAAAATTGTAATTAAAAAAAATTATTTCTGAAAAGTGCCAACAAAATAGTTTGTTGTTTGAAGATGCAGGATCTAGCAAAACATTATCGACGAGCATCCATACTTTTTATTTCACTCGTGCATTAATTCACTCATACATAAGCATTTATACTTGGTCCAATACAGCCTCATGGAACACAATAAAATCTAATCATACAGATTTGTTTGTTTCCTTTCATTTGCTTTTTTATGATTAACTTTGTTTTATAATTTCCTATCAAGAATGATGGGGTTGTTAAATTATATATTTTCTTCTTTTTTGAAATTGTACTCAAACCTTTAAAAAATAAACAATCTTTTATTATTTTTTGATATGCAAATTTGCTGTGCTTTAAATTTTTTTTTAAATTCCAAATTTATTAGAAAATTTAAAAAGAATTTTTTAATAATTTTTGAATGCTATTTTTATTTATTTACTCTTTTTTTATGTAAACTACTGAATAAACATATTTTATTTTTCAATGTAAATATAAAATAATATTTTTGTACATATTTTTTAAAAATTATAAAGAAAATTAATTTTAATTTCTCTCATTTTATACAAATTCTTCATGAAAGGTCTTGACATTGACTCTTTAAAAGAAAGTCATTCTGATTTTTCTGCTAACAGTGAAAAATATCAGTGAACTTGAAATAATTCAATCAAATTAGTTGAAAATTATATAATCCTTGGCTGATTTGATCAGTTTCATATTAAAAAAAAGGCTGTCTTATACAAGACTAATTGTAAGTTGGAAAATAAAGTGAAATGCTTGCAAATTAACATTCTGATGAAGATTATTTTTCTGTATTTTCTTTTGATACAATTTGTTTTATACTCTTAAATAACTTAGTAAAAGAATTGTTTTATCAATCATATTTTGCATTAGATTTCACAATACAGGTTTTTAAATTTTAGCATTTTTTACACTATTTTGCTTGTATTATAACTACACATATAATTGTATTATAACTACACATATAAAAAATAGGTTTTGTAAAATTGAATTATATTTTTTGTTGACTTTTTTCATTATGATTTGTTATGTATTCTCCCATACCTTCTATTAAAACCCAAGCAAGTATTGCCCTAAGCATTGCAATTCAAATCAATCAAATTTTACTATACCATCATTAATGGTTTGGTGTTTGAATCCATGAAAAATTTCTCTAACATGTACAAAACATGTAGTTTTGATTTATTGTATTTATTAGGAGCATTATGCATATTTTTTTTGTTTAGTGGATACTTTTTGTCCCCCAAATAATACAAAAACAAAATTGCTATTTTTATTTTTATAATAAAAACTTTTTTTTGACACATTGAAATTTTCTTTTGAACTTTCACCTATTAAATATGCCTTTTACTGTCAACTCTAAACTCGGTTGAATACCGTGTGGGGAAAATTATTTTACCCACATTTCTTTATGGGAGAATCTAAATTTAGTAGGGAAGTCTTTGTATAAATTTTCCACGTAACGGTTAAAAAGATATTAAATCAATTTTCGATTTAATGTTTATTTAGTTCTTTTTTTAAAAAATTCTCATAATTAAAATGATTTTAGGAAGCATTAATTGAAATGAATCGTCAAATCGTGGAATGTGCCGGTAAAGAGGGTATTAACGTAGATGCAAGCTCACGTCTGACCTCAGATATTTTAAAGAAAAAAGTTATCTGTTTTAAGTAAGTATAGAAATTTACTTGACAGTTAGGAATATTATTCTTTGTATAATATATTATTTGATAGCTGTTGGGTAACTAAGAGAAGTTAAAATCCTATTACATGACTATTCTAATTTATTTATGATTCATAAAGCAATTGTCCAAACTTCTTTGAATTATGTTATTAAATAAAGTAGATGATCCTTGGACAGCAAGAAAAAGTTTTAATAACTCTAAATTAAAACTAGGTAATATCAAGAGGAAATTTTAGAATATATGATGAAAAAATTATTTTATCTAAGGAAATATTGTTTTTAATGATATAAAATTGCTTAATGTATTATTGATTAATAATTTATTATTGTTATTAATATATATTATTAATATTATTAACTAATTTGCATATTTTTTACATTGGTTATTTTCTACATCCAAATGAAATTAATCAACTCAAAGAATAATATATTCACTAAATATAATAAATCTTTATATTTTATAGTATTTATTTTCGAATTTATCATTATCTAAAGTATTTTATTATCCTTATTAATAGTACTAACAAAATTATAATTAAATGTCACATTTGAAAGTGTTATGCCTCTATAATTATGACATTATTTCCATTCAATGGGCATTTGTTCGTTGATCCAAATACTGTTGCAAAATTACAAAGTGCTTATTGTACTATATCAGGACAGTTTTGGTCATAAAATTAATAATAAACAATTTTTCTTTTGTTGTTACTTTACTTTTTTATGATCTTTAGAAAACAATGAAAGTTAATGGCTGAAAACTGAATTTAAAGTAGTTTGCTAATTCAAAAAAGAAAAAAAATTTGGTGTGCACCTTTAAGAAATGCATAAATGTACTAACTGAATCACAGTTACAGGATTTGATCTCTACAGCTTTTTGTATACTGTAAGGATTCTTCATCAATTTCATTTTATTTTTTCTTCCTAGCAATTTTTTTTTACTGTTAGATTAGTATATCTAATTTTAACACATATTTATTTTATTTTACTTCATATTGGTAAGTTTGTTTTCTGCTTTTCTACTTTCATCTTAAACTCATTTAAAATTAATTTTTTTTATAGGCATGGACGCATTATAAAGAGTGACATTTATATCTTAGGATAATTATTCTTTATTTTGAAATGTCTCTTTTGCTGTCGTAAAGAAACACGTCCTGATGAGAACTTTATTTTTTTCATCAATTTATTATTATTTTTCTAATTATATTATGTATTTATATTGTAAAACATTTCAATTTTTTAACTTTTTTTGTTGATTTTTTTTCTTTTTAGGGAAAATCCAAAAGTCATGGCTAAATTTACTGGACTTCTTCAACAAACACTTGCAGTGATTCAAGCTTTAGAATTTTCTAGTTCAAAAGGTGTTGATAATTTAGCTGCTATTGAAAAAGCTTTGCTACAATATTTAACAACATCGAGTGAAGAGGTTCTAAGCAATATAATGCAGATGATAACTGAAAAAGAAGAAATGTGAGATTTGTATAATTTTTTTTGAACACAAATTATATTCTTAAATTTGTTGATTATCTTATAAATAATTAAGATGAATTTATTACTGGATGAATAAATTTACTAAATAAATTGGTTGTAATAATTATATGAACTGCTTTTTAAGTAAAATGAATCGCCTGAAAGTGAATTAAATATTTATAGAACAAGTTGCAAAGTGAATTCTTCCCGGGGTTTGAAAATTGCTTGGTAAATTGTTAGCTACAATTATTAATGAGAAATAATTGTTTATTATACCTCTGTGATTGTATCAATCATTTATCTGTTAGTTTCAAATTGCTTCTTCTCTCAAAATCTGTTAAATTTTATGAATCGTCATTTTAGAGTCATCAGAATCATCACAAAAATTTAATGCATTGTCACTTGAGAGTCATCAGAATGAATACAAAATTGAATGTGCTTTTAAGTTTAGCTGTCATTGTATCAAAAAGAGAACTTAAAGGTGCTAACTAATATACCTTTATTCATTCCTGTTTCGCCTGTTAATGATAGTTTCTGCTGGAAGGAAAAAAATCTAAGCTTACTAAAACCACAGAGCACTAAGCCTAAAAATAAGCTATTAAATTTCTTAACACAAAATTTAGCGCAGCATCTTAATTTCATTTGTTTAAGCATCAAAGTATACATTGCATAAGTCTTTCAGAAATTATACAAATGAAAAGTTTACCTCCAGTTTTAGAAAAAGACAGTTTTTTTGTTAGATTTAATTCATTGAAAACTCATATTTTTTTATTATATTATCTAAAGAAGTTTTAGAATGATATTAAGAATTGAAATATGTATATATATTTTTATTAAAAAAAAAAAAAAGAATTTCTATAGAAACTTACCTCCATTATTCTTACTATAATGAATAATGGAAATAATAATGGTAAGAATAATGGAGGTAAGTTTAAAAACTTACCTCCATTATTCTTACCTATTTGAAATGTTTACTTTTGGCTGAAACAAAATATTATTCAAATAATTATTTTTACATTTTTAACTTAGTTTCTTTGTTTGTGTAATATTTTTTTATAATATTCATCCAATGTTAATTGCTTTAATTAAGATATTTTTGTTTTTTTTAGGAACTACAAAATGGAAGAGATTATAATTTTCTTGGCGTTTTTTTACATGTTATCTGGGGAAACTGACTTAGCCAATGAATCTGCTATGCAGGTAATGCAGTATTTTTATCTCATTGCTTTGTTTTTTTATGGATTGGGATGGGAGTTATTTTATGTGTAATTATCAGATAAATGAACATTGCTTCATATTTTTTTTCTTGAGTTTTTGCATTAATATTTATGTCAAATGTAAATAAACATTCATTCAATCTATACAGTCAACCCCTAGATATCCACCCTTTTGGTCCAGTTGAAAATGCATGTTTTAACGTTAGGTTATTATGTCATGAGTGCACAAAAATATGGAGCTAAAGTAATACTGCAATCATGCATGAAAAATGCATTAAAAACAATGTGTAATCCAGTTAAAAATGAATGTTTTAAAGTGAGGTTATTATATCATGAGTGGACAAAAATATGAAGCTATATGTTAAAGTAATACTGCAATCATGCATTGATTAAAAATAACGTTAAAGTAATACTGCACGTTATACGTTACGCATAATATACGTTAAACTAATACTGCAATCATGCATTAATTAAAAATAACATGTTGATTTTTAGGCTGCAATTTTTAGTAAATAACATACGTCAGGATAACTGTGAAGACCCGCAGGAAATAATTTATTTGAAACTTTTCTAAATCAAATTATTAAATTTTGTTCGTTATAATCGACTGAATGGTTCAGCGTAGAAATTCTACTAGACATTAAAATAACATTGCGTCTATGGTTAACAAGCAGGACTTAATGCCTCTGTCATTATAATGGAATGTGGTTGCTGTACAGGGGTGGTCAAAAAATTCTGTAATATTTTGTCAGTTTAATTTTATGTATTTTGAAAACCTAAAAAATATTGCAATTTTTGTCATGTTCTGTAGAAGAATCTCCTGAAATTCTATAGTTTTTGTAACGTTAATTTTCAGTGTAATAGGAGCTTTAGAAATTCTACAATTCTTTCAATTTAATTTGACAGTCTTGTAAAGGTTGAGGGCATCATGTTGTAACAAGAAATTCGTTTTTTATTTTTATAGGCCACTTTGATGGAAACATTTTTTCAAGATGAAAGTATGGTTGATTTACTGTCAGTATTTGGTAAGAATCTTAATTATTTTATAGTTAATTTATTTACTGTATATCCCAGTGTATAAGTCAATTTTTCAAACCCCTAAAATTTTGCTTATTTTTTCTTTGGGAGAGTATATTCTCTTACTCAAAAATGGCAGTTGATAACTGCTTTTCAAGGATTAAAGGTTTCAAATTTAAAATTGTAATTTGAAAAATACATTGTTAACATTACATTTACAGACTATTGCTAATTTCTTCTAATTTTCCAGTGGATGAAGATGAAAAAGATGATGAAAATGTTTTGAATTCTGTTAGAACTCTCTTTAATATATTCAAGAGACTTGGTACTATTCGAAGAAGACTTACAAGATATAAGTAAGTTTGGATATAAAGTAGGTTCGTAAGATTTTAATTTCATAAATTTCTGAAAAAAATAACACAAAATGTATTTTTAATATATATATACCTGCAGCCTATAGCTTTAGATTAAATTGCTTTTTAATTATATTCTTATCATTTTTTATACCATAATTATTTTTATATCATAATAAATTATAATAAAGAGATGCATGTTACAGAAACTAAATAATTAGTAATATACAATGAGTAAGTTATTTGTTGCTGATAAAGCATAACTGTCTCTTCTCATAAATAAATTTTTTGCTTTTATTTTTTGATTGGTTCATATTTTTGACACTCATTAATCTCTAAAATATAGTTCTCATGCCTTGGCTCAAAAGAAATCTGCTAAAAATTTAAACCACCTAATGTTTTTTTTGTAACTTTCATTGTATATTTGGAATTAATTGTGGAAATGAAACAACTGCTCATTTATAAAAGAAAATTCTCACAAATAAAGGAACTACATTAAGTTCTGAGAAACTTGAAAAATTCCTTTATCTCATCATTTATAACTTTGGTGCTAAATGTAATTGATCTTTGATTTCAAAGAATTGTATATGGGTGCATTGTATGTTCCATCAAAAATAGTTTTCACAAAGACATAATTTTTCATGGTTTTTTAGTAAACAATGTTCATTTTCATAACATTGTAGCAAAATTAACTTTAAGCTTTTCATTTCATGACACTTTGTTATTATGAAAGGAAAAAGAAAAACACTCACAAATGCCTTTTTTCTTTTTTCAATGGTTAACTTTTTTTTATATATAGAAGTTATGAATTGAATTCACAGAAAAGTTGCTGAAGTATGTTGAATTTAATAAATATTAACAAAAAAGTGAAGAANCTTTCGACAAAATACTAAAATAGAGATCTATCGACAAAGACTACTCACTTCTGCCTAGCTTATGCTCTCTCTGGTTATTTCAGTTTCCGTGTTTAAAAGCGCTATATGTTGAGCCTTGGCATGTGACATTTTTAGCGGCAATCATTGGTCGATTTTCTAGCGTTGCCATTCGGGGAGTTGTAATGAGGCTTTTTTTTGTCGCCGTGTAAGAGAAATATATATATAGTTTGTAAAAAAATTAACTTAACAAAATTATTTTTCATGACACTTTGTTATTATGAAAGGAAAAAGAAAAACACTCACAAATGCCTTTTTTCTTTTTTGAATGGTTAACTTTTTTTTATACAGAAAGTTATGAATTGAATTCACAGAAATGTTGCTAAAGTATGTTGAATTCAACAATTTTGTTGACAAATACAAAATTCAGTTACAAAATTGTATAAATGGCTAAAAAAGGTAAACTCTTAATGTTTATGAAATTCTAGTTTTTTTCCTTTCTTTATTTATTTTTCACTGTCACGTGAAAGGAACAATTTAAAACTTGTTATCTTAGCAAATTTATATTCAAAGCTTAAAATCAGAAATTAAATATTTCAAAATCATAAATATTTCTAAAGGTTTAAACTAAAATTTTCCATGAAAAAATTATAACTTTAAAAATATTTTGAAAGTTTCTCCATTGCTAAAATTAAAAACATTTTCAAATATATGTTTTTTTTTTCTTCCTTCGAAACATCATAAAAAATGTGAACAGTTTTTTAAAGATTTCTAGAGTATGTATTAGGCCTTAAGAGAATTAATGCTATTATTAAAATGTTTCATTTGCAAATTGTTGACATTATTAATAGAAATATTATGAAATTTCTGCAGTTAGTGATTACCTATTTTGCATAACTACTAAATTATGACGTAAGATCTAACATATTTTGAAAGAAAAAATTATCATAATGCTTTTTCTACCTTAAGCAGGATTCAGTAATCACTTTTAATTGTTTTTGTTTTTATTTTATATACTGTATAATTGTTTTCAGAACCTTGTTTAAATCTACAAATCCTGCATTTCCGGCTTCATATAATCCTTTGCTTAAGCAAATTCTTGAAGACATTTTTGATCCAAATCTTCCAGAAAATCCTGATCTTGAATTTCATTCTGCTGGGCTCACAAATTATATCAAAACTGGTTTCAGGTACATTTTTGCAATTTTTATTTGTTAATTGCTGTTAAAAAATTTTACTTTAAAATTTTTCATAAATTTAAGCTTATCTTTGTTTATAGTTGTTCGTTTAATGTTTAATCATGTTTGTCTTGTTAGTTTACTAAATCCCAAATTTATAAATTTTATAAAACTATTGTGCATAAATTTTATGCATGCATGAGACACTTGTAAACACTTGTTTTCCAGCCCATGATCAATTAGAAAAAACTAGGTGACAAGCATTAGGAATTTTAGTGATATTGTTTTTTTTTTCAAACTAAAGTAAAAAATAACACAGTAACTGTATTTCCAAAATGTCGAAGTACTAATTGGAGCTGTCGAAAAACAAGTCTTCATTAACCAAATCATGTTTAAAACAAATTTAATTAAAATATTTATAAGTTCAAGATAAGTAATATATAAGATAAATTAGCACACATTCCCTAATATATTTACTATAGAAATATATTAAGTAATGTTGTCTTTTAATATGTGAATCAATGTAGAAACTGTATTCATTGTAGCCTCCAAAATCCAATTTTTTTAATGGAGCTATTTTTGTTGGCATAATAGTTGGACACTCCTACACTAGTTATTAATTATTTTCATAAATTACAAAAAAATAATACTCACACTGCATAATATATTGATAATTAAAATATATTACATAATCTTGTACTATGTCGATAACTCTAAACGTAATACTATATCTATATTATTCACTTCAAACCTTCATGATTATTTTTTTAAAAATACTCACACTGCATAATATATTGATAATTAAAATATATTACATGATCTTGTACTATGTCGATAACTCTAAACATAATACTATGTCTATATTATTCACTTCAAACCTTCATGATTATTTTTTTATCATGCTGAATTGAAAAAAGTTAGATACTTTTTGATTTTTAATATTAGAAGATAAACTAATCAAATATATGTTAATAAATCTTGTTCCAAATAAGCTATTTTGTAATTGAAATCAAAAGTAGAAATTGTTTGATTTGAAATTTAATTTCAAACTTTTTTTATATATAAAATGATGATATAAATGCAAAGCAATAATTTTTTAGCTTATTCATGAATGTCAATAAGCCTCAACCAAGAGATAACCCCGTCATATTCATCATTGTACTTGGTGGAGTTACTCCATCAGAAATAAAAATTGTTAATGAATATACTTCTCGTCACAAAGAAACTGAAGTAAGACTTCTAAACTGTCTTTTTTTATCTTTATTTACAAAAATTTTCCCTTTGTGTTTCTTATGTATATTTAATTATGTTGAATATTTTTTAAATATATGAAAATGAAAAACTAAGGAAAGGTAATCAAAACAGTGACTAGAAAATTATTGGTTATTTCAAATTAGTACAGTAGGGAACTGATTATCCGGAACGATCGGGACCATCACTATTCCGGATAACTGATTTTTTTCGGTTTTCTGAATCGCTGCAAAAAGCCGTTTTTTTTTCATTCTTAAACCTTATTGTATTACTGTTTTATTGTAAAATCTTATGAGGAAAAAAAAATTATTTTTTTAAATGGTGGGAAAATTTATCGAATTTCGTTCCGGGTTTTTGGTTTTCCAGTTTTCTGATTTCCGGATAACGGGTTCTGTACTGTACTTCAAACTATCTGGCTGTATATATATTCTTTAAGAAACATTTGTATTTGACATGGTTCTTTTTTTCCCATTTTTTTAAAAAGTTATTTATCAATGTATGACTTGCTGAAAAATAAAATAAACAATATTAGTTTTCAATGCATTTCGCTCGAGTTATTTAAAAAGTATGTTTATTGAGAAAAGAATTTGATGGTTAAATATAAATTTAAACGTTAAACGATATTAAAAAGCTATAAAATATGGCACCCCTATTAATAATTACGCATATATATAAAATTTATTTCTCAAAAAATACTTGAATGGAAATGTTATTTCTTAATATAGATTATATTTATTCAATCACATAGTTAATATATTAATATTCAAAAACACGAAGCTTTTACTTGATCACAATTAAAGTTACTTTATTTTGGAGTTTTAAATTGTTCATTATTAATTTCTGACAGCTAAATATTTTAAATTGTGCAACATGTTCCCTATTAGTGTCTCTTGCTATTTGATAAGCAACTGAATAATGGATTATTTTGTAAATCAAGTGATGATTGTTTACCCAATTCTTTTTAGAACTGGTCAGGGTTGACCTTGAAATTTCCTGTGGTCCATTTCTTCTCAATTGATCTATCTCTATTCAAAATTATTGAATTTAAAAAGTGTTTTTTTTATTTTTTTTACCTATTTTTAATGTTTGAAAACTAGAAGTGATAGGTTAAGAATTTCTGAGTCTGAATTAATATAACCTAATGTCTGATTTTAATTTAAATAATTAAATTTGAAAAAAAATATGTATATTGCTTTTTAGATATTTCTGGGATGCACTGAAGTTTTGTCACCTTCTAATGTATTGAAAGATATTGGAATGATTGTAAAAAATCTATCTAAAGATGCATCAGAAAATCAGCATTCAACTTAAAATTTCAAGTTAAATTTGTTAAATTTTGTATATAAATTGTATGTATTGTTATAAATTTTTATTTATCATTTATTAATTAATAAATATACATTTTTTATTTGTTTTGTAGTGTGTTGTTTTTTTTCCTTTACTACTTAATGTAATAACTACAAAAATTTGCATGCTCAATTTCAAATTGAAACTTTTTCTATGTTCATATTTTGAAAAATTGTCTTTGACGTGTTTTGATAATTTTCAGTACAATGACTTAATCTTTTTCTCCAGAAATTGAATAATACAGAGTGAAATAAGCAGTACAAAATACTGAGACTATTATCATTGGAACCCAATGGTAATATGTTACATTGGATCAAATTTTTAGATATAACAACTATGTTGATAAAACATTTTAGATATAACAACTGCGCGATTTTAGATATTTCCTTTCACGGTTAGCCTGATGGCAAAGGGACTAACCCATGATCCATCTATCACTGAGGATATTTCATGTCAGCACCGTCTTCACTGCAAGCCGGATGTGGAATTCATATCGAACGGGGATCGAACCCGGTTCGCCGCATTGGAACGCAAACGGTCTATCGCCTGAGCCACCGTGACTCAGTAACTGGCTAGTGGCATGCCTTTGCTGGCTATATTCTTTTAGTGATAGCGATTGCCGTGGAGTGGAGATACCACAATACCCAAAGAATTTTCCATTGCTTGTTCGTAACTGTTTGCCAAGATGCGACGCCAAGTTCACTATCTATCTGCTATCTAGATGAATATTTGAACCTGTAAATGAAATTTCTTGTTTTCCTACAATCTCCTGTGCAGACACCATTGCGTTACGAAACATTATTTTGTCAAATCTCTAAAGTCGATTGTTTAGGGATAAACATGTTTTGCAAATATAGATTCCGAATATTTCTATAAATGTGTAGCCAACTTCTTGAAATTACTTACAGCAAGACTGTAATTGATGGGTAAAATACAAAGTAAAGATTGTCTTCATCATTGAAAACTATGATGAAGACAAAAAGTTTTGAAATTATAATAGCATAATATTATGATTGGTCATTATGATTTTTTTTAAATCATAGATTTATGTAGAAAATATCACTTATACAGTACTGCAAAGAATAGTGACTTCTTCTGCCAAAAGTAATTAAATTTAAAAATGCTTTCTGATCTAAATTAATTTACTTTTCATTCCACAAATTGATTCTCTTTCCTTACAATTATTAAGTATTTCTAATGCTTAATGGATATATTTTAAAATAAAACATGTTTTTGATCAACTCTGATAAAATGCCTCACTGCTTCGCTCAGGGCCGCTAAAACGCGAAGAACGCCCCTGCGTGGAACTGACCCAATATTTTGCATAGGTTTTTATTCCGATAATTTCAATCAAAGTTTCAAATCAGTTTTTCATTACAGTACAAAGGGAGAGATAAAATTTATAAACTTGCATGTTTTAATTTTATGTTTCTCTGCATTCTCACAAGCTCAATAAGATAAAACATATTTGTTTTGTTATTTTATGTACACAGAACTTGAAATTTAAAAAAAAACCGGTAGTCTTTAATTGCTTTTTGTCTAGTTATCGGATTTCCGCATGAAGGATGTAATATTATTGGTTCCGAGGTTAAGGTTAAATATGCCAATTACTTTGTACAGACGATATTTTAAATTACGAGATCTGATACAAAAATTTACTTTCTCTGAATAAACATTATTATTCTTCAAATATGAGAGTTAGCCACAATCTGGAAAATATGGTGCTTATAATTTTGTCTGAAGAAAAATTGAAAGTTTCTTCTCCGTAATCTTAATTTAATTTTTTGCATATCTCATTACATTTCTTTCACTATTTGAGAATGGCCAAACTATTATTTATTTGGACCATATTTTCCAGACTACGACCAACTTCCAAAATTTAAAAATCAAAAACCTGATTTCGTCAACAAAAAAAAAAAGACTCCCCGTGTAGTAAATGGTGACTGATGAACGGTAAATCTGTCGAGTCACAAAGTCCTCCATGTTCCCATAACAAATCATACCTCTGAGGGTATACTAATCCAAGAATTTCCTTGTCTTCTGGATAAGTTCAAAATTACAAGGCTACAGAGTTGAACATTAGTGGTAGTATTCCCAAAATTGGCGGTCGGCTGTAAAACGACGATTATAAAAAATTATTTAAGGAAAGTTCTTTTTTTTATGATAGATTCCGTTACTTAAAATAGTGTCTGCATAAATTAATTAGCAATTTATGATAAGACCTGCAAGATTGGATCCGTGAAAATCTAATTAATAGATTCCAAGGTGATATTTTATTTTGCGCCCTGTACGTAGTGCAGTTGAAAACAATGGATTTCATCCCCTTCATCGTTCGGTTTCATCAGGTAGAGCTCAATTTTAGTCGCCAAAATCAGATAAAATCTCGAAAGCTTTGTCAGAAATCCGTGAAGAGATTGAAGGACCATAACACAAACATACCGAAAACATGACAAATTTGACGGTGAGTCACTTTCTCCGCTCGAACTGGGATCCCAAGAAAACTCACCTTGTCGTTCGAATTAAGATATTGAGTCAGCACGATTAAAGCAGAGATTCTTATGCTGTTTTAGCTAAGTAGTTCCTGCCTTTGATGAGTAACATATTTACCGATGGAACATCTTCCGATGGCGCCGTAAACATGTTCACCTGAAAACATTCTCACCTATTGATTTTGGAAAAATAAAAGCTAATTTATAGGTTTTGTTAATTACTTTTTGTAAAATTTTCTTCGCAAATTCTCTTTTTCCTTCATTACTAATTTAAACGAAAGAAAAAATAAATTCAGGCAAACCTAGAGTAAGTCATGAAGTTTCAATTGCTGAAAAAAATACTTCAAAATTTAAAAATGCAAACAAATTATTGGAAGAGACTTTCACCGTTGAGTAATCTTCTAGCAATTTATTTTAATTTGTATATTTTAAAATTTTCTTTTCACTATTTGAAACTATGTGGCTTAGTCTAGGTTTGTCTGAACTCACTTTAAATTAGTAATGAAGGAGGAAAAGAATTTGTGATCAAAATTTTCTTCATCGGTATGGCGTCCTCTTAAAACATTTAAAGAATTTCAATCTAAACACGCAGTTTTTTAGTTTAGCATAGTTAGTAATTGTTTTAACAACTAGAATCTTGAACAGCGCACAACTAAAACACTAAGTTTTATTTTCCTTCTTCTGACTAAACACATATGAATTAAAAAATGTTCCAAAATTCACTTTACAGCATCAAAAATTCTTAACTTCGAATATTTATATTCTGTCTTTTGCATGTATTACTGCAACTAATAAAGTTTTGTTTAGTACACTTCAACATGCACACCATTGGTGGCCCTAAGCACTTCCAGTCTGTAAGATAATTTGTAAGGTAAGTTGTAAAGATAATTTTGGAACACCCTGCATTTATATTTTATGTTTATACATCATTTGATATGTTTCCTATATATTCCTTAGTCTTTGTCAGCTTTTTAGGTTAAAAGGAGGGATAGCTTTGGAAATATCTCTAGAATGCAAGCAGCATTTACGAACTTTCGATATAGTGATAACTATACAATTCGAACTTTGAATTAAAAATCAAATATTTACCAGCAAAACAGTTAAATTAAATATTAATATATAGTTAATTCTAAAAAAAAAACTTTTTTTTTAAATATGTTATAAAAGGTTAAAATGAAATAGAAAAAATTAGCATTAATGCAACAATTGTAATACTTAATTTGTCAACAAACATTGCTGTTCAGCGATTGTAAAGAAATGTGTGATTAGTTGTTTGCTGAGAAAAATAATTTACAGATTTCTTTGAATGGGAACACAAAAGCTTTCAGAAAAAAAATGCAATATAAAATCTATTATTATTAAATTATAATCAACTAATTTTTGGAGAATTTTACTAAGTTACAAATGCAAAAGCATTTCGTCAAAATAGAACAAAACTACCACCAAAGCATCGGAACAAACTTGAGCCATAAATGGTTTCAGCCCACGGACAGAATTTTAAAACAGAAGCAAATATCCTAGCCCCTTCTTCCACATCTAGCACAATCTTTGCCTTTCTTAAATTACAGTCCCATAGTCTCCATAGAGATTAAAGGTTTCTACATTTGTTTAGCAACCATGAGAGAATTTTATGTGGCATTCTAGTTTAACAGGGTTAAAATTGAGCAAATTTTGATGCAAGCAAAGTGTAGCTGAGTTGATGACATTTTTACCGTTTGGAGATAAATTTCCGTCTAAAAAATGTGGGTATAATGGATGAAATANATTTTATTTAGATGCATACTTATGCCACGGCACAAACATGAAGTATATAGAAAATAATAGTAATTAATCACATAATCAATGAAACTTCGAGCTCCATCATAGAACATTCCAGTCTTCTCCCACCAAGCTAGAGAACAGCCCCCAGCTTCTTTTTTTTTCTTAAGTTTTTTTTTTATCTCGCAGCGCCATCTATTGTCGACGATTCTTACAAGCTTTTCTTTAAAATTCCCTGATTTTTCCAGGTTTTTATCTAAATTCCCTAATTTCAGGTGGGTGGCCATGGCCACCCTAATAATAATCTTTTCTATAACAGAAACTCTAAAAGTAAAACACAATAGATGAAAAAGAATTAATTCTTATAACAAACTTACAATGTAGTATTCTTTATAATGGATAACATCATTGCATATTATTGAACAATTATTCTCTTAACATACACTTCATTAACACATGACATAACTATATCTGATTCAGCATCGTAAGTTAGAATCTTCATTTCATAAAGTTTAAAACAGAATTAATTAAAATCAATGTCATTTACTTTAAGTGATACAACAAAACTTGTTTAAACAACATGATAAAATTATTCTAAATAGTGATATCACGCTTTAATTTTGTATCAAAACTTATGTGAACACTTTTTTAAAATATTAAATAGACTCATCTGAATTACTGCATCTAATTATAAAGCAGATAAGTACAAAAACTTCAAAATAGAAATTATAAAAAACAATCTTCATCCTCAATGCCATAGGAAAAATTTATTTAGCTTTGAAAATAAAAACAATCAAACATTCAAAGGGAATAGCAATGAACTCTATCACAACAATTGAGTTGATTAAATATAGTGATTTCACTCAACAAAAAATAAATTATGTAAACATTCAGCACAATAAATTCTTTCCAGATTATCTCATGTAACTTTTTGGTGTATAAACAAAATACACAAAGTGTGTTGATATGTATAAAATATTTTTTAATAAAATAGATGAAATAAAAAATAGAGTTCACAGCATTCTTTAGTACAATTAGAAACTATAACAATAAATTGTAGCATAACATCAGGAAAATACAAAACCTTAGGTATTTTACCATAATTAATGAAATAATAAATTAATGATAAATGATATCACAGTATGTTTGCCTGATTCAGTTTATTTATTATTAAGTGATAGCCATACAAATCCATATAAATTAATGTTTTTTTAAAATTCAAAATAATGTGTAAAATTATTCTATTTTTAACAATGTGTTACATAAATTTCAATCTGTTTACTAGATGTTCTAGTGAAAAACTGCAAGTATTTAGAATTAAATAAGCCATAATTTAATTCTTCCAATTACATTTTATTAACTGTTGTTTAGATCAGCCAAAGTGGTCTATATAGACCCCCAGGGGTCTATTTAACAAAAGCGGGGGTCGAAGAAAAATCAGTTCTTAATACGCAAATCATCACACATACCTAATTGAGCATGTAAAATTTGTGAATTTTTTTATAATTTACTTAATATCAGTTTCCTTATAGAACTTAAATCAACAAAATGTATATTTATTCGGGTGAAACAATTATTTACGTACCAGTGTGCAGTGGTACGAACTCAGCACTTCTGGTTTATAAGTCATATGTGCGCTTGTCCAAATGTCACATGTGAGGAGCATTGATGCTACAAAAGCAAATATCGTACGCAGTTTCAGTTAACTTTGCAAACTGTGAACAGTGTTGAATATTTGCTGTGTCATTATTAAAACTTTTACAGTATTGGACAATTAGTTACTGTTTCGATAAAACCATTAGTTAAGTTCAGATATAAATTTTAATTATCAATACATGTAAAAAAGAAGGTAAGTATTAGTAATATGGATTAGTACAACCATGACAAAACTATACACACTTTGTATTTTTTTACGAAAATTACAAAATTTTTGAAAATATTATTATTTTAATCTGATGTGAGTCTTTAACTTTCACGTAAATTCAATCTGAACTAAGTTCAGAAATAAATTAAATGTGGGGTTTCGAGGGGATTTAAGATTAAAATTGACCAATTTTGAACCCAATAAAGCGAACCTTGCAAAAAGCACCAGGTTGTTTAAAATCATTAAGAGATGAATTAAAGTGTTTTTGAATGACAAATCTGAAAAACATAAGATTTTTTGCTTCATTTAAAATATTTAAAGCCCCTCTCTTAATACTTATTTAAAATCTTGCCTCTAAATATAACTAAGTTCTTAAAACAAATTAAGAGCACTGAAAATTTTGAAAGTAATAATACAATAATAAAATGCAGTAAGTAAAAAAAAATATCACTAAAAAAAGTAAAATAAATGTTTAAAAACAATATACAATTAGTGGATGGTCCCTCGGATAAAAATTAACTTTTAAGAAACTCAATTAATACATATCTTTATGAAATTAAATGAATAGAAGGGATATGAAAATTTTGAGGTTATAAAACTTTGTGACTGCTCTGAGGATTAACATAAAAATATGTACTTAGTGAATGGTCCCCAAGTTAATTCAAAGATCATGGAACTAATCTATAGATAGAATAGCGCAAGAAAGCCATTAGCTTGCCATTAACGAAGATGATGGCACTTCAATATCGATGAAATTAACAAGAGAAATAAAATTTTCTTTTGCTATTAAACTTTGGCAATGTTTAGTTGGTCCCAGAAAATTCGATAGAAGTTTTGGCTCCTTTTTCAGAGGAAGAAAATGAAGCCTGAAATCGAGAATATCTTGCAAAATGAAGCAGAATTGCTCATCAGAGTGCAAGAATCCTTCCCACAGAATCTAGAGCAACCCCCCACATGGCAGTAGCTTGGTTGCTGCAAAATTGTGACTTGGCGATACCCATGGGGAAAATATCCTTTTTGACGCAATTTAAGCCAAATACTTCAATTTGGAGCATGTAGGCACAGATTTCCACAATTGGCGCAGCACTTGCAGCACTGGAAGCACCTACTTAAGAATAACAAAAAACAGAAGGGAAAAATTTAAGTTTTTATTATTGACAAAATTTTTACATTTGAATTCGAACTAAAACGCAAAGAGTTAAATATCACAATACAGTAACCAACTTCATGTTACTAAAATTTAAAAACTTATTAAATGTTAGATTCAAAGAATGCCTTATATCATAACATAAGGAAACAGTCTTAGTTCACATGAAGAGAAAAAAATTAGAGGGCCTAAGCTATCACAATATAAACACAATTTTAAAAAAACACAGAAGCAGAATTATAAGCTTTAAGCAAAGTCATAAATAAAAGTATCAAACACATAGTTTCAGTTTTTAATGTCAACTCATACAATTTTCAAGAGAAAAAAATTCAATTCTGCCCAGTAGATGGCGGCTCCATTTTAGAGATTTATTTGATACATTTATACAGTTCATTTGATACAGTTCATTTGATACAGTTTGATTTGATACATTTATACAGTATTACATTTGATACAGTTCATTTGAGGAATGAAGCGAGCTGTTCAACAGGCAAAGGCTAGACTCTAATCTGAAATCACATTTTAAAAACCTTTTTATATGAAAACTAATTATCAAAATGAAAATCTTCCATTGGGTGCAGCAATGGGACCACTAAACTCAAGCACGGGTTTCATCTACTTTTGGTTTAATATCTTCATCATTTTCCTCCTGAAAACAAAAATATTCAATTCAACAAAAACTATCCAAACATTTCGACAACAGTCTAATTTTTAAAACAAGTATGAATACGAAAATCGATGTTTGATATTAAAACCGCGAAAAAGAATCACGACATTGGATTTTAAGCTTGCATGAATACGAATCGCTACATAGGGTTTTAAAAGAGTGTAAATACGAATCGCGATATTGGATTTTTAAATCTTGTAAATAAGAATCGCAATGTAAGATATTTAAATTGCCTGAATAAGAACCGCAGATTTCAACTATTAAATCAGGTTAATACGAAAAATCAATGTTTGATAATAAAATCGCAATTTTAAAAATGCATAAATACAAAACGCGATATTGGATTTTTAAATCTTGTAAATAAGAATCGCAATCCGCAACTTTTAAATCAGGCAAATACGAAAATTGATGATAGATATTAAAATCGCGTGAATAAGAATCGAGATATTCGCAGAGTCTGGCCTTGAGATTTCTAAAAGGCTTGCTTGTATTGTTTTCGTTTAGACTATGTGTCAGGAGCAGTCACAAGGAAATAATCAAAATAGCGCTATTAATACCAGTTGGGAATTATAGTTATTAAATAGTGAAAATTAAACATTAAACTATTACTTTATACAATACGAAAATAAAATATTAAATTTCGGACGATGTTCCCAGATTCTGAAATAGCTAAAAAATATGGTTGTGCTCAAACAAAGACGGGAGCAATTATCAATTGCCTGGCAGAATTTACAACCAGTGAACTAAAAGAAGTTTCGAAAGTTTCCAAATTTGCCCTGGCTACAGATGGTAGCAATACAAATACTGAAATTTTTTTTGCCTATTGTGATTGTTTTTATGATGAATCAGGTCAAAAAAATTACATCCCGTCTAATGAGTTTGCCTAAGTTAGATGGTGATGCTACTGGCAAAATATGGTCAGAGTATTGGATGAAAAACTTCAAAAATTTTCGATTCCATGGGAAAATTGCATAGTTTTTTCATCTGATAATGCATGCATCTTCAATGATTGGGGCTAATAAAGGTGTTCTAAAGTTTATTTTGGAAAAAAATCCAAAGTTAATTATATGTATGTGTTCTTGTCACCTGATAAATTTGGCTGCTCTTTAGCACCTTTTTTAAGCTTCTCATGCAATATCTGTTAGCTTAGTTGATATTTCTTGGAAAAAAAGTTCAAAACATCTTGACATGTTCAAAGAGTGTCAAAGGCTGTGTGACCTAGATAATCACAAAATTCTAAAGTATGTTTCAACTAGATGGTTGCCCTTATTAGCTGTTGTTGATAGAACACTGGAACAGTGGGAATCATTAAAGATGTTTTTTGAAAAAGAAAATTATTCTTCTCTAAAATGCAGAAGCATAAAAAAAAAATGTTTGAAAATTCAACAACAAAATTATATATATATAGTATATATTTTTTTTTGCAGAATGTTTTGCCCATAATTCCAATGATTCACTGTCTCCGAAGAGAGATATATTGCTGTTAAAGAAACAGAAAGTTTATTTCAAATAGAATTTGGAAATAAAAAAATAAAAATATGCAATGAGGATTTAGGAATTTTTGAAAGATGTTTCTCTCTCAGAAAAAGAAATTGTTCTCTAAATTTTCAACCCAACGCAGGCCAGGAAAGACCGATTACAAAATGTAACCATCCACAACGTTGCCAGATCCATAAAAATTAGTATTGAAGAAATCGTGCTTATGGCTATTTTTCTCTCCACATTAACATGTGCTACGACATAATATCACGTGCCCGTTGCGATTTTGGAGCTCTCTACAGCTTAACGGGAGATCGGTCCACTGTCCCACAGTTTGGCGTGTGTTCTTTCTACGCGAGAGGAAAGCCTACGTAGTTCGCCATTAAGCATGTTTTTATCTTACACGAGGCAAGTTTTTTTTCAGGGTTTGAAAGCGCATAAAAAACTGAGTATTCGAATGTTTAGTGGAGATAGCGTCGGAAATCGAAGAAATTCCGGTCAAACCGGAGCAATTGGCATGTCTGAAACTGTCACCTGATATGACTGCAACAACATTCCTGAATGCATTTAAAAAATTTATTAGTAGACGTGGAGACCATGTAAGTTAAAAAGGAACTTAATCTATTGAATGAAACTTTGAAAGAATCAAAATGCTAGGACTATTTTAGTGAGAAGGGAATAAAATGGAAAACATAATTAAGAAAGTTGCATAGTGGGGGAGGGGATTTTGGGAGCGACTTGTATGCTCTGTTAAGTCCTCACTCAAGAAAATTCTATTTAGATCATGCTTAAATTATTTAGAGCTTGAAACAATAGTGATTCACGTTGAAGCGATCCTAAATTCTCGCAATATATCCTATGTAAAGATGTCTTGACTAGGCGTTTAATAGGTAGGTGTTTAATAGGTACTAGGTGTAGGGAAGATAGAGGGAATCTTTGATGCGGAGGATGACATTTCTTTAGAAGAACTTAAAAAATGTGGGTGCAGCTAAGAGAGAACCATGAAATTAATGATGTACTGATTAATGATTTTCGTTCTATTGATTCTGAAGCTAAACCATCGAAACATTAACTGAATCGGATAAAAACAATACAGCTATAAATTGTGAGGAAGACGAAGAAAATGAAGACTGAAATGATGAAGAAATCACCAAACTTACATATTATGAAATGTTAAAATCATTTGAAACAGTTTGATAGTAGTTAATAGTTTACAAAATAAGAGGTATCAATTTCGATTTTAATTATGTCTAGTGTTTATGAATTTAGAACCTGTTTTGTGTTGTAAGAAGATGAAATTATTAAACCTTCATATGATGAAATGTTAAAATCATTTGAAACAATTTGACATGGATTGCAGTTTGCAGGGGTGATTGTGAGCCCAAGTCAAAATTCCGGAAAATTTCTTGACTTAAAAAAAAAAAAAGTTTAAATTGAAAAAAATTAAAACAAGATTTTTCTTCCTTTTTCTCAATATTTCTTAAGTTTGCTTAAAATATTTTTAAAATTTTACTCGTACCTGTACCACTTACACATACCTAGATGACGTGGAGAAGTAATTAAAATTTACAAATATGTCTTTCTTTCTTGAGTATATAATTATAACAACTATTTACTGATAAAAAAATGAATATTAACAATGAATATAAGCTTATAAAGTATATCTCTGGCTCTCCCTTACAAACAAATAAAATAAACTGTGTTTTTAAGTTCCACCTTTAAAAATTTGATTTCCGGAAACTTCTGTGATCAATCATTTTTTTAAACGCCTGGACCTTCGATCTCCGGAAACTTCCAGATCACTGTTAGCGAAAAGTCCGGAAATCCGGAATTTTTCCGGAGCACAATCAGCCCTGAGTTTGAGAAAAAGCTGAAGGAGTTTTTGGTGCATTATAAATTAAACAGTTTTCTTACTATTTTTCAAATAAGTGGTAATTGAAAAAAAAAAAACATAAAAATCCAGATCAGCAAAGAAAACAATCGTTGAATACAAAATTCACAAGATTCAGTCGGAAAAACAAACAAAATATTTTATTTTACCCAGGGTATCTGCTACATTTTAGATTTTCAAATTCAAGACTTTAAATAAGTTACTATTTTCTCCAACAAAAACGCAACAATAAACTAAAAAAAGCATTATAATAACATTAATTGAAATGATAAGTATAACCAAAACTGTTATACTCTGCATCTTCATATTTATAGATTTTAAATTTTAAAAAACAGAGTAAAGAAAGAGTTAAAGACATTTCCCAGCTAAAGTACATTTTCCCAGTTTGTAAAGAAAAAGTCAAAATCCCATGCATTTTCCCTGTTATTTTAGGCGATTTTTAAATTCCCTGTGTTTTCCAGATTTTCCCTGTGTAGCGGGTCTATGACTAGACAATAAAGTTATCTAAGTTTTACCTCTCCAGTAAAGTAACAGTCAATAATTCTAACTGCTGATTCATGCACTTTTGGATCCTCACGGTGTAGTAAATTTTCAATTCTGTCCAAGCCACCATATCGTTTTATAATGCAGCAGACACTTTCTGTTGTACCTACATTGAAAGCAGCCTGTCGATAAAGAAAAATGTTTAGAAATGTTTTTAATTTTCAAAGTATTAATTTAAAATAGTTACAAAAAGGAGCATTTAAATTTCATACACTACAAGATTACATAATTTTCTTTTTAAAATTATGTTATGTTATCCATCGATACTTAACATTTAGTAAAAAGAAAAATTAGCAAATGAAAAATAAAACTAGAAATTATATTTTTCTTCAGTTTATATAAGAGACAATTAATACTTGGAAAACTACCAGGTTTAGCAAATTAAAACTACTAAGAGCATACATTAATATTCCCTTTCTTTTAATAAATACTGTTACATGATTTATAGCAAATATATCAGTTATATGACTCTTTAAATTATTTTGAAAAGAAAATAAACTTTTACAATTGGAATCACTATGTTCATATTATAATCTGATCTAACGAGAGCCATGTGAAACATATATCAATAACTGCAAAGTAGAAACATATAGTAACTCTTTAACATACAAAAATTGCTATTTTAGCTTAAAAATTACATGATAATCAGCAACTGTTTAGATAATTATTTTTCATTTCATAAGAATTTTCCATTTTATAGCCCTAATAACAGCAACAATATTTTTTTAAATTTTGATGCTGAGTTAATTAAATCTTTTTCCAAAAAAAAAATTTATAATAATAATAATCGAATCACTTTTTAAGTGATTGCTTTTGTTTGCTATATCTTTTATGTCTGCTATATTTAGTCGTTAGCCCATCTTCAAATATCTTGTGACGAATCCTACTTTTTCTTCTTTGCAAGCACAGAATATAAGTTTTGAATATATTCTCTTCTAGTTTCGCCGATGTTGTAACACCTACATATACTAATAATAGTCAATAGAGAAACAGTCACCTTTATAGTAACTAATTCAAGAAAAAAAATTTACTTCTTGAAAGAATTGCGATATTTGATCTTAAAATTGCGTGAATACTAATTGCGAACCTGGATTTTAAAATGGCGTGAATATAAATCGCGATTATGGATGTTGAAATCATGTGTATATGAAACTAGATATACAATTTTCAAATCGCGTAAATACAAATCACAATTCATAACTTTTAGATCCCGTAAAAGGAATCATGATGCGTAATTTTTAGATTGCATAAATAAGAATTATGATGCAAAATTTTTAGATCGCGTGAATGCAAATCCTTATTTTTTATTTATATAAATACGAAAAGCTATGTTTGATATTAAAATTATGTGAATAAGAATCGAAATATTAGCAGATTCCAGGCTTGGGACTTCTAAAAGACTTGTCTGAAGCAGCATCGTTTGAATTACGAAAATACGAGCTATCTGGTGGGCGGGTAAAAATGCGGAAGGGTTGGTAGCTATGTAGTTTGAATTTTCTATTTGCCTTTGAGAAACGGAAATAAATATAACTTTTTTTATTTCAATGGCTAAATTTTCTGAAAAAGCGGAATATTTATTTAAAAATTTTTTTTTAGAATCAGTCTTTGATAAAAAAGGCTGAAATTTGAGAGACAAAAGTGAAAAAAGCAGAAAAATCTCATCCCTGATAACTGCTACTAACTAATAAAAAATAAGTCAATAGAAATAATTAATCCCTTAATAAGAGTGCTTTTGTCATACATATTATTTCATTTTACATTCAAAATTATTATCACAAACTATTTAGCACAGTGTATTATAGGTAAGTAACTTTTAAACTAATATTTTTCATTGTGTGTCGTCAAATTACGAGATTGTTAAAAGTGTGCCGCCACAAAAAAAAAGGTTGAGAATCACTGATCTAGAGCTTATGTTCTACCAGGTTCTGCTTCTCGCACCCCCATTCAAACAAATGGAAAAACAGATGCAGTTTCAATACTTGACCTTGAGTCATTATTCCGTTTTCTTGGCTGTCACTATGCCTTTTAAAGGAGGAATAGCAGAAATGAGAGGTTTAAAAATAAAAAAAAAAGAAAGAAAGAGTACCGAATTAATAGAATAAGTAGGGAAAATAGGAGGTCTGCAGTCCCTGCAAATTTCAATATTCCAAATCAAACTTAACATCAAAACAAACCAATCTGAAATTGTAATTAACTGCTGGACCCTTATTCTTTCACACTACGCATAAAAACAGGGTTTTATTTTTATTTGCCACAGAACAGGTGAATTTGAAACTCGAATTTTCTTTCTAATTTGCAGCTGCTTAGTTTAACACATTTAAAAATAAATAAAAAATTACAATTTAATTCATCTATCAAGTGTTTATTTTTCAAAACTGACGCATTTCCAAATTTTAAGCTTATCAAAAAAATTATGTACACAATTCGACAAAATGAATATTACCATGTACCTTTTTTCTATTTTAAATCAACCTAAAAATTAACTACATATTTTGTATAATTAAAGACAATTTTTTTAATTTTGCTGTGAGTCGAATGAAAGCGGTGAAAAGAGAAAAAAAAGCTGTGAATCGAAATAAACTAAATATTTCATACATTTAGAATATCTTCTATGGCATCCAAAGCTACAATTATAAATTCTGGATCCTTAACAGCAAGAAAGTTACAAACAGGTGGGATGACACCAGCTCTGACCAAAAACATAATCTGTTCTATTGTACCATATGTTGTGATCCTTTCAACAACCCAGATGGCTTCCTTTTGGCTTTTATAATCACCCTGAAAGTAAGAAGAAAAAAACCTTTAAAAGATTCTTGGAATGTAAATAAATCAACATTTATAAGGCCAACATGTAACAATAAAATAGTAAGAAATTAAAGTTCTTATAAGATTTATATTTTCATAGATTTATATTTATTATTTTTGTATTTGACCACACCCCTTTGTTTACAGTGTTTGTTACAGTGCCTGTCAAGAAGCTGGTTTCGTTTTCTGATAGCTTGAATTTTACATTTTGTTCTCTTGTCTATCCAAGATTTATTTATTATTATTATTATTTCCCACTGATAAGAGAAAGTTGGCAACACAATTTTAACTGCACCTGTGCAAAGCATTATTAGATTGTTTAAAAACTGAAACTTGCTAGCACTTATTTTTGATATTCGTTCTATACATTTGTTGAATTTTCCGTTACTATTGTTATTTTCTGTTATCGTTTTTGTTTTATAATAATTTGTTGAGGTTTATAAGTTATTTTTTTTGTTATTCCAACGCTATTTTTGTTTTTAAATATGTACAATATTAGTGCACGTTGGCGAAAGCCACAAGGTCGTCAAACAAAACGGAAGAAAGTTTTGTCTGATAATTTCAAAATAAATCTTCAGCTGGAGGATTTTTCTATTTCTGATCCAGTTATTAATCTTGATTATAATATTTTGTCTGCGAAAAATAAAGAAACTGCTGACTCTCCCAATTATAAGATTGTTGATATGTCTGCACTAAACAATCTTCTCAAATCTGTACCGTGTAATGAATGTAAATCATTGACATTACTAAGGAACTCTTCTCATTCTTATGGGTACTCATGGGTGCAAGTTGGAAAAAAGGCCAAGACTGAAAATATTTTGACTGAAATACCTAACATACACAATACCCCCTCGACAAATGCAAACTATCTAAGAAAGCTTTACCATAATACATCAAGTTTAAATACTGTACAAAAAATATTTATTCATTTGTCTTTTGATAAAATAACAACAGGACGTAAAAAAGTAGACCAATAACGTAGACCTAAAAAATATTTTTAAGGACAGGAAAGGAAAAAAAAGCCGATTTCCGTCTTCGAGTCAGTCTTGTTTCCGTCTTACTTTTTTCCCGCGGACATTTTTGAAAGACGGAAATCCGTCCTGGGGACGGAAGACTTGCACCCATGTGGGTACTCATCAAAACTTCAACTTAAATGTTCTACATGTGGTAACATCATTATCATCATAGTTGGCCAGACAGCCCAATGTGAGCCAATGCCTTCCTCTGAAGATTTCTCTATGACGACTTCCGATTTAACGTGTGGTAACATAGCTGGTTCAACTTTTCCAAGCCTGCATGTTGATAATATCCGTCGGTTTGATATCAACAACAAAATAGTTTCTGCCTTTATTGATGTAGGCAGAGGTCACACAGCCCTAGAAACTTTTTCTATGGCACTCAGAATGTCTGCTATGGATAGTAAGACATTCCGTGAATGTTTCAATTCTATTGTTGAATTAAAACAAAATTTGAAGTACGATGTTTTCCAAACCTCACGAGAAACTGTAAGAAAAGTTTATTTAGAAGCAAACTCTAACCTCAATGACAAAAGTGTCATTGATGTTTGCGTTTCATATGATGGTACATGGCAAAAGTGTGGCCATACGTCATTGTATGTTATCAGAATTGAAATTGAAGTTGTGACAGCATTGGTAGTGGACTTTGAAATCATATTGAAGTACTGCCAAGAGTGTACCATAACAGCGAAAGATTTGGGTGCTGATACACCTGAATACAACATATGGTTTTAAGGGCATAGCAGGGTGTCTACTCAAAAAGAAAAGTGGTTTTACCACTTAAAAAAATGAAAAGAAATTTCATTTTCATACAAATGTCTGTTTTTCAATGAAATTTTTTTCCATATTTTTATTCAAAAAGTTTAAAATATTTCCAGGCTTTTCTAAGAAAAATTTAAATTTCCCTGACTTTCCCAGAACAATAAATTCCCCTGACTTTTCCAGATGGGTAGACACTTTGGCATAGGTCTCAGTGTGAAAAAAACTTGAGGCTAACAGCACGGAAGTGCATACTGCTCACTCTGTGGAAACGCTCTGTTGATACCTGCCTCCTCAGGTACACAACTAGTTTTTCGGATGGAGATACAAAAACTTTTGATGCTCTGAATGACGCTCACGTGTATGGACCTGATATCGTAATAGAAAAAGAAGAGTGCTTGAACCATATTGCCAAAAGAGTGGAAACAGGGCTTTGCAACAAGGTTAAAGAGTGGCGTGCAAAAGGTGTTACTCCTGGTGGGCGCAAGAGTGGTAGCTTGAAGGACAGCACCAAAGCTATGTTGCAAGCTTACTATCAAAATGCAATTCGAGACAATGTGCCAAACGTCAACAACATGAAAACTGCCATTTATGCTACATTATTTCATTGTATGTCAACAGATAAAAAACCTCTACACCAAAACTGTCTCCCTGGTGCAGAATCTTGGTGTTTTTACAATAAGGCTTTGGCTACTAATACCATTCCGAAAAAACATTCCACAATGAGAACACGTTTGAGCCAGCAAGTAGTCGAGAAGATAATGCCGATCTATCAGCGGTTGGAGTTAACTAAGCTTCTTTCGCGCTGCACTAAAAACAAAACTTAAAATGCAAATGAATGTCTCCATAGCTGTATTTGGGCTAAATGTTCAAACGAGACATTTATCTCCAAAAAACGGTTAGACATGGCTGTAACGTCTGCTGTAAGCGAGTTCAGTCTTGGTTGTTTCAATCAGTTTGGTTGTCGAGTTCAATCAGTTTTACCTCAAGGAAATGATTTTTAGAGTAACTTCAGAGGGAGGAATGAGGACTGCAATACTTTCGCTCCGGAAAAATTAAATTCATCATAGAATATTTTAACTTGTGCAAAATATTTTTTCCACGGAAATTAGCGGGGGAAATGGAAAAAGCTGAGAAAAAAAGCGGAAATCCGCAGAAGAATCACACCCCTGCAAAAGTCACTTGCTGGCAGCATTTATTAAAAATAAATAATAAAAGGAAACTGATATTTATTGCATAAAAATTTAACGTATGCATGAAGGGCATTTGTTAAATCAATAAATATGCTTTTTGATTAAGCTTAAGTAAGACATACCTTATGAAGAACATCAATGGCAATATTCACGAGTTCATTATCAATAACAGCTTGGATTTGAGTAGGCATACCTGCAGCAAAACAAACAATCCTAAAGGCTCCCTAAAAATAAATTTAAAAAGGACAGAAAATTTTTTACAATTTTTAAACAACAATCTTTGATAAAAATTCAAACATTGTTATTTTTTTTACACAAAACATTCAAAATAATTGTGAACTTTTTTTAAAAAAAAAAAAAAAGCAATGCAAACAAAGTTATTGCCAGATCCTCTAGGCAAATAACGAAATACATTATCTGAGAAAAAACTACTAGCTGAATAAACGACTCACAGCAGCATTCCCACTGCATACGGTTTGGTCAATGTGACAGTGCATGAACTACAGTACTGGAAATAGCCCTATCTGTTAAGGAATAATAAATATTTCTAATAATAATAAATAATTCTATTCACCTGAACCTTCAATCTCCGGAACTTCAGGATCACTGTTAGCGAAAAATCCGGAAATCCAGATTTTTTCCGGAGCACAATCAGCCCTGATTGTATATTAGAGTATATTGTATATTATACACAATTATTATTATTTTTTAACTTAACAATGTAATATTTTTCGAATTATAGCTATTCGAAACAAAATTGGATAGCTGGATAGCAATAAAGACTAATGAAAATTTTAAAACAAATTTGAAAAATCTAATGATATTGGGAAATTATGTTATATAGTTTCAAAATATTTAAAAAATTTCAAGTATAAATTGAATGAAATATATTTAATGACTTTAAATTATTTTAACAAAATAGAAAACAATTTACAAAAATATCATTAACATAAACAATGTAAAAGTTAAAATCCGAAGAAAATGAAATTTTAAAAAAGTATTTACAATTAAACAAGAAATAAATCTGAAAAATTTGTTGTACTACTTTAAAAAATTATTACATAGTTTTCATAAACACTTATTTTATTAATAAGAATTAAGAGTTACGGGTTACAAAATTAATCACAAAAATGCACAAAAAGTACCCTTTAGCTTAAAAATGTTTGAAAATAACAGGGACCGAGGAATAAAAATTATTATAGAGAAAATTGAAATCCGAAGAAAATGATATTATTTCATTTTATAAACCCTTCCGGTAAAGGGCTTTCGATTTAAATAAATGAATATATAAATGCGTTTTTTTCCTCTCGATTTCCATGTGTATTTTTTATAATTATTAACACTTTTTGTTAACATTTATTAACAGTTTTCCCTAACATTTACTTCTTTAAGAACAGATTACGAAATTATTCGTATAAGAGTTATGCTACAGTTAAATTTCCACGCATAGCCATGATTGAAAAATAATAAAAAATCAAATATAATCCAAATATTCACAAAATATATTTTTAATAAAACAGTAGTATAATTGTAAATTAGCGAATAAATAAATATAGATGATAGAGATAAAAAATAAGTTTAAATGACATGACATCAAAATAATGAAAACTTTTGACATTTAAAAAATTGAAAATTTTCCTAAAATGTTTTTACAAAATGTTGATAAAAAATAACTATAATTAATAAAAATTTGCATTGTACGTAAATTAAACTAAATAACTGCAATTAGGAGA